CAGCCGCGCCCGTCTCCCCGCCCTGCCCCTGCCGTGTCCTGGGCTTGCATCGAAATCCAGATGTCCTTTGCTAGTCCGTCAGTGTGCGGATAAGATCGTCTGCTGTCTTCATTAGTGCATCTGGCAGCAAATAATGTCTGATGGGCTTGCAGAAAGCACATAGGAAGCGCCCAGCTGAACTTTTCGTGCATTCTCGGAACCAGAGGTGCTGGTGAAGTCAGCCAGGAGCTTTGCTGAAAACCTTTTTGCAGTCTAAGGTTTTAAAAAGTCCCAATAATAAAAGGGCCGAACCCCCTGAAGTTAGGTTTATGGTTGGACTAGGTGATCCCTTCCAAGACAAGCCATTCTATGATTCTATGCAGGGAAGGAATGCAGATCACAAGCTAAGGACTTGCTCTCAGATACTACATCGGAGAGATGAGAGGAGGGCTGCTCAACCCGTGAGTTTATACCCTTCACAGACCCTGGTTATGCAGGGAGCTGTTAAGGTGATTCTGTCTGGTAGGAAACATAGCTTGGGAATCTAATGGGCAGGTTGCGTGCTAGTTTGTGACTTTTCATTGTTGTGCCCATAGGTAGTCAAATTAAATTAGGAAAACTTTTCATTCCCACTAACAGAATTCTGGATTTTGTATGAGGGCACGTAATGACACTTTCAGGCTCTACATTGTCTTGTTTAGAAAATCTTGCACTATCGTTTTTAAGCCCAAGCCTAGTTTTTAGTTGTCACAAATGATGAGACTAGCTTTGTTTTAATGTTTAGAATAACTACTTCTGGAGAAACTTTGGGCGATGACCATAACTGTGCATCCCAGCTGATAACTGTGTAGGAAACTAAGCTGGTTTTCAGAAATACAGTGCAGATTTGGACCTTCTGCTTGCTTCAGACTTCCAAGGTTCTGCACTGTTTGTTTAGAGAGAGCTGTTCTTTGGTCCCTTCCTAAACGTGCCAAGGTGAATTTCTACTTTTGCTAAGTAAATGCACTTAGCAAACTGTGACGACTGATATAAAATGCTTACGCATGCTAAGTCTTCGCTAAATTTTGTTACTACTGCTAAAATTGTTTCTGGGTGCTGACTTGAATAGAGGTGCTAGAAAAGCTTCTACAAAGTCCTGGTTTGCTGTTTAGAGCTGTGTGAGATATATATTCCTGATTGCCCATTTGGAACATGTTGGAAAGGTTAAAGCAGATCTTATCACACCGACAAAATAGTTTGCCAGTGATGTTTTTTTTTATTACTGTTGTCTAGAAACAGTGTTTAAAACTATTCAACAGTAGTCCTTGCATTTTGAAACCTTAGCTTTGGTTTCTAAAATATACCTTTGGCAGATCATATTCTGCTTTGTTGTATGATGCCTCATTAGTTTTATGGGGTGCCTCAGAGGACAAATATAAATGACCACTAGTTTGAAAACATGTGACCCACTTTAAATTGAGTTTGTTTTCTGAAAGATTACATGCCTTTCATAATTTAGGTAGCAATGCCAAGATGTGCTTTAAATTAGTATCAGCAATTTTTGCCTCATTGTCTTCTATGTTGGGTATATTCCTTGTTAGAAAGTAGGTATGAATTGTTAAATACAGGTGTTTGAGCCAAGAAAATTCTAATGTTGACCAACAGAAAAATCTTGAAGTCCAGTAGAGTTACCAGTCTCTTGTCCTTTTAAGCTTAGTAGCTTAATGAAGAAATGTACGTGCTTTGTCATGAAGCTTGCTCATAGAGGGCTACCTGGTAATAGCAATAATAGTAATTCCTATATGTGTCTTCAAAACTGGAAACCACTTGCTGTTTTTTGTGGGGGGAAGGAGGAGTGGAGAAGTGATGATTGCTGAAAGGTAGAGGAATGGAGATAGCTAACTAATTTTAAAACAGCTCAAACATTATTGTTGAATTTTATATTTAAAAGTGGGGGTTTTTTTAATCTGGCCTTTCGTATAGGAAGTGAAAGATCATGAAAAAGTTTTCACAAAGTATGTAGGAGAGGAGGCAAATTGAACTAGAAACAATGATGTCAAATGCACAACAGAAATCAGTTAAAATCTTTTCAAACCTGATACATTAGAATCTTCCATTTTTTTCCTTAAACCAGTCATTAGTAGCTATGTTTCATTAATTGCAGTCAACCTCATTGTGCATGAAAAATAAAATACAGAGTGCATTAAATTCAAAGACGCAGCACCTGGAATGGTTTCCTTTTGTTAAGTTATTAATCTAAATGAACACCTGATGGAAGCAGCTGAGTTTCAGTTAGCTAGCTCTCAGTTGTGCTGCATTTTGTGGGGAGGGAGGAGGTGGTTTGATATTCTGATGGAGGCTGCCACTAGGATAAGGTGATTACTTCTCTGCTAATGCAAGGTTAGAAGCTACTTAATATAATTTTACATTTTTTCTGAATGCAGTGGCTGTCAGGATTTTTAGACAATTTTTTAATGAGGAAACCTCAATGTAGTAAGCACAAACCATTTAATACTCTGCAAGTATCTTACCCTTCTCAAATGTGTTGGTGAAAATACGTGCACATTCAGTTATATGGGGTGTGGATGTAATGGCCTACTTTATATTTTCACTTTTGCTGTTAAGTAACTTTAGCAGGTTTTAGAATACCCTACTGTTAATTTATGCACATGAACATTAATTGATAGCTACTTCAGAGAAGTGTTAATATGCAATAACAAAGTTGAGCATAACTGACTTGGAACACCAGCTACTGTTGTATGGAAAATAAATTATGCAATAGTTAAATTTTTTTAATATTATATTCAGACACTCTCTAATACTTAGGAGTGCTCATTTTTATAAATTGGCTGTTACATGGGAATTTAGATAGTGCTGGAATATGTGATAGCTGTACCAGCACTAAAACTGGAACAATCCTGTTAACACTGTTGTATAAAGTGAATGATATGGAGGGTGCTGTATTCTCTTTGATACATTTGAGCTTCTCATCTTGCATAAGAAGCTTCTTTTCCCACAAAAATGCCTGAAACACCAAAAGCTTCTCCTCTGAATTGTTAACACACCAAATTTAATTTTGGGGAAGACACTAGGTTTCATCTTTGCCTTTGTGAACTTCAGCCTTTGGACCATGGAAAATTAAACTAGTTCAGGCACAGAGAGCTCTGCATCTGTGTAAAGGGGAACCTTTGTCAACATTTGACTATTGAAGTGGAAGGAAGTTGTCAAAACAACTAATTGAGGATATTTCTAGCTTTGATAAAGTGTCGTTTCCCGTGAAACTGGTTAAGGCTTCCCATTACCTCCAGTGTTATCTTTTGATATTGAATACTCTCTTGGCATAGTTCAGTTGCAATTTAAAAGGGACAATTCATTTTAAAGATAACAAAATAAACCAAACTGTGAACATTTTAATAATATATGTAAGTTTCCCTTATTATTATGGCTTCAGGTAACCTTTATCTGTTCAAGCTTGCAGGTGGAACTGTTTAATAATTGTTTTGTATACTGCTTTCATTTTGGTCAGCAAACACAGCAGGGTGTTAGGAGGAAAGAGAAAAAAAGCGACCTTGAATTCATGAACACTCAATAGCAGAAACTGAATTTGTAGAATAGCCCTCCAAAAGTTACCAATACCAATCCTGTCTAGGTCAGCAAAGCCACTCGTGTATTTTTAATACATATTTGAAAGCAATTGTATATCTGTGCCAGATTATTAACAATGACCCCTCTCAGCCATGCTCCAAAAGCTTTTTCTTCTTAGTGGCCAACCAGTTACACTAAACCAACCCACAAAAGATGTTCAGAGAACACAATATCAGTCTTTCACTTTTATTTAGATAGCATATGCTTAAGTCAGGGTTATTTCTGAAGACTTCTCCTGTGAAAGCCTACAGATTTCTGCAGGATTTTTCATTACCTAAAGGAATAACGTGGGACTGCATGACTTGAAAATTACTGACTTATAAAACACGTTGTGATTCTCAAATGTTTATTTCTATTTATGCATCTTTTCCCTTTGTTTCAGGAGCTGTGGAAGTGTCAGTCCGAAGTCCAATTGCCTGCTGGTTTAGTGCTATGCTTTATTGCTTTGGTGGTTCAGTTTTGTCTTCGTTGATGCTTGCAGAACCTCCCATAGGATTTCTGGCAAAGGGCACAAATATTCTACTGGCATCTTCAGTCTGGTAAGCAGCCACAATTAAGCTAGATGAGTAGTATTAGTTCTGAGGAAGCCACGCTTTTTCTGTAAACTGAGATTATACCATCAAGCTTCCAGGTAAATCAAAGCATAACTTAAAAATATTATGGATTTAGATGCTATGTCTTCATCCAGAAAGCCACTGCAGCAAAATAACTGTGATCATCCTTTTCTATAGGAATAAAATGCTCGTAAGAGAGCAACTCTTGTTGTATAATGAAATGCTCAGTGACTAGACCAGACTATTCTGGTGAAGGAACTGCAAGTATTATTTTGGAATAAAGTGGATTTCAGTTACTGCTTTTTTGGATATAGAGAAATCATAAATGTAGTCTAGTTTTTCAGCAGTAGCTCTTAAAGACCAGAACCTCACTGATGTAAAAATGTTGAACTTTTCTGTAATTGGGGATCTAGGACACAGATCTTCTTTCCTCTCTTCTGCTTCCTGACATAACTTTTTTTCTGTATTTTGCCCTTTCCCAAGTGGATGGGCGTTGTAATGCAACACAGTAGAGAACTGAATAGGAAGTCAGGTATGTGAACGAGGCAGAAATTCGGCCTGTTTTGGAATTCAAAAAAAGCCCTGGAGTTATTTTGATATAAATAAATGATATAAATGTGGCCTTCCAGTGGAGTTAGTTACAGAAAAGTGATCTTTGAAGACACCCTCAAACTTTTCAAAATTTGGGAGCAGTGGGTTTTTTAATTCAAAAATCTCAATTCCTGTCTTAGAAGAGTGTTATCTGCTTGAAATCCATTATTACCTGTTCCTTGTAGCCCAGTAGGTTTTGTAATTGCAAATTCATTAAAATGAAAGTAAGTGTTTCTGTCTGTCTGTGTGTATCTATATATTAGTCTGCTGATCTTCGTGTTGCACTGGAAGATGCAGACAGATTTTATTTAGGCAAATCAGTGAAATGAATGATGTGCAATAACCAATGCAGTACTAAGGTTATAGAATCTGCTTATGTTCATATTAGTCTGATGTGGGCAACACGACTGCTTGTTTTAAAAAATGACATGTAAAGTACATGTAAACAGAACATGAACTGTTTCTGTTGAACTTAACGTGGTCAAATGTGATTTGCTGTGCACAAATAAAATGAGGTTTTAATGAGGAACTGTGAATGTTATGAAACCTTTTAAGCCTCTAGTTTTACACAGTTCTCTCTTCATGAGTATAATGACTTTAATTCTCGGTCTCAAATCACGTGAAACAAAATTCCCCAAGCCATACGTAAAAATGGAAAACAAAAGGGATTGTGCTACGCTTGAGAAATGCTCCTAAATAGTCTGTAGGACAACGACATCTACTGTTAGCAAGTGTTGCTAGCAGAAATTACAAGCAAAAATGCTGTGGTGGGGTAGCAATGCAAGGTCTGATCCAGTTACCTGTTCCTTAGTGTCCTAAACCCACATTCTGCAATTGTAAATTCATTCTGGTTAATGCTGTCTGTTGAGGAAATGGCTTAAATGGCTTTTTGCGGTAGCCATTAAAATACATGCTCTATATATTTCTTTGAATTCGTATCAGCTGAAGCTTGGTTGCGTACAAAGGCAATGGAATTTACAATAGGAGAAAATGGAAGGAGTATAAGTAGAGCTAAAACTAAACACTGGACCAGTACTTAGCTGTTAATGTAAACTCCAATAACTTTCTTGTATGTGAGAAATAGGCTATTGCATGCTCCATGCTGCGATGTCTTGAAGAGAAGAAGCCTTAGAAGTTTGCAGTGGCAAGGTACTATAGCCACGGCAGCAAAAGCAAATACATAAACTAGGACAGGACTTCAGCTATACTTTGCCTTTCTGTGGAGGAAGCTTCCTGGCATTCTGCTGTAAAGGATAAGCATTTTTTTGGCAGGGGGGTGGGGTAGGGAGAGGAACACGAAACCAAAAAACCCCCAGTGAGTGCTGTCCTGCTTTCTAATCTCTAGCCATGAAGTTTTTGTTTGTTTGCTCTAAACACTTTCCTAGTTGAGGTGTTTGCTAGTAGTTCTAATGAAGTAAACTAGATACAAGAGGTGCATCTCTGGCTTGCAGCCTGAGTAAACAGGAGAAGGATGCAGCCTTAGAAATTCTTTGTAGACAGGATTGAGCTCAGATGCCTAAACCAACAAGCAAGTATCTTTCATTTTTAGAAAATGAAAAAGTATCCTTTTCATCTTTTAAAGGCTTTCTTTGCTTTTATTTGTTACACTTTTATTCCTGTGCTGAAATAATCCAGATGCTTAATCTTGATTATTTTTTCAATATTTTTTTTAGACCTTGAATGTCTCTTAAGAACTGAATTTTGTTTATGATTCAAGAAACACAATATAACACAACATAATCTAATCTTTTAAAATTTACTGTCCGTTTGGGATTTCATTGTTAGCCATCTTTACTTTCTCTTAAAAGCAAGTTGATAAAAGATATCATTAAATTTTGAGTGCTCTGCTTTCAACACTGAAAAAAGAAATGTGCTTGTAATTGGCAAGCTGGAAAAGCTAGAATTGGTGGTTACGAAGATGTGAAATGTGTTTGAAAATAGCTGTGCATTTCATGTGGTATGACACTAACTAGTGGAGGCATTGTTGCTGAAGTTACATAATTCCATGTACCTATCAGTATGAAAGCGTCGT